AGGCACATGGCGTGCCCCTGCTCTGGCCTGCCCTGCACGGGCTCTCTCGTGAAGCCCACACAGGCTGAGGTCACCCCGTTTAGCAGCCGAGGATAGGGGGCTCAGAGAGGCTGGGTGACTTGTCCCTGGGGACACATGAGTGTTAGCATGTGAACCGGCTGGAACCCAGGTCTGTCCCACCCTGAGCCCACGCCTCCCTCTCCCTCTGAGGTGAGGAGCTGGAGAGAAATGGGAGCTCCCAGTGGTATCAGGGAGGACTTCCAGCAGCTCCCCACTGCCCCCGCCTCCTCAGCAGGAGGTGGCACCTCCAGTTACTGCCAACACTTCTAGTCCCTCACGGACCTCATGCAGCCACCAGGAGTGGGCCGCGTACTCGCCTGGGGCCTGTTGAGGGAGCCTGGCGCAGCCCTGAAGATCGGCAGCCCCTCCAAGGGCCAGGCTCGGTCTTGCACCCCCCCACCCCACCCCCCGCACACCCCGTGGGAGCCCAGGTGCGAAAGGACACCATCAGCGGGTGCTCAGCGGTGCTCGGGCCTGTCACCCTCGGCCCTCTCTGGGCTCCTCTCTGGCTTCTCAGGGCCTGAGAGGCCACAGAGGCATCTAGTCGGATCCCCCAGTGCTTCCATCCCCGCCTGTTGGCACCCCCTCCGAACAGGGAGCTCACTCCCCACAAGCCGCTCTGCACACACAGCCTTTGAGGAGGACCTGGCCCTGGCGGCCTGAGCCCTTCCTTTGCCAGCGCAGGAGCAGCTCCAGGCAGCCTGACCCTCGGGCCCAGGCTGGGGGCCGGCTGGCTCTGCTGGAAGGGCCCGCGGACAGGGACGAGCGGGGGCTGAGGAGGAGACTGCCGGACTGCTGGACGGAGGGAGCCCGTTGGACGGGAAACCAGACTGTTTTGTCAACAAAGGTCACGGAGACCAATCCAGTGCTTGAAGGGAGACACTTGCTCGAGTGAAACAGCCCACATGAAACCGTGAACCACAGGAACCTCGTCCTCCTGCTGTTGGGTCTAATTTCATGCAAGTGATCCAAACGCACACAGTTTGATGGTCCGAACTGCAGTTATGACTGGTTGTCATGGAGCTGGTCTGATTGGTCACTAAAGAAGCAAACGAGGAGAAAGCTGCACAGCTTCCATCCAGGGACGGTGTCACCCAGGCCGCTGGCAAGGGCGGGCGGGCAGGAGCCCGAGGTGCGGTCCGTGGAGGCCTCTGCCAGCCCGGCTGCCAGCCGCCGGCCACAGTCCGGGTCCTCTCGGGCAGTTGGGTCCTTCTCCTCTGCTTCAGGCAGCAGCCGTGGCCGGGAGCCAGGCAGCTCAGAGCCCTCTGTGAGGCTAAGAACGGGCTTGGGCTCGGGCTCGCACTGACGGTGCACGGACACGTGTGCTCGCCGGAGGTTTCCGCACGCCGCCTGCGACTGCGAGCCCGGCTGCCAGCCGCCGGCCACAGTCCGGGTCCTCTCGGGCAGTTGGGTCCTTCTCCTCTGCTTCAGGCAGCAGCCGTGGCCGGGAGCCAGGCAGCTCAGAGCCCTCTGTGAGGCTAAGAACGGGCTTGGGCTCGGGCTCGCACTGACGGTGCACGGACACGTGTGCTCGCCGGAGGTTTCCGCACGCCGCCCCCCGCCCAGGGCCCTGCCTGACAGGCTCCTCACACACAGCTTTCAAGAACCTTCTACAACCTCTAGGCCACCCACAGGCTGTGGCAGACATGGCCTGCCTTGGAGGCCAGCTGTGCCCCCCCCCCCCCCCCCCCCA